TTTGGTGTTTGTTTGTGTCCCCCCCCCCCCCCCGACCCTGTTCAAGAATAAGCGGTATAGATAATGGATGGATGATTGATGTTTTCTTGATGAATGCATATGCGTGCTTTCAGAGTACGCAGAGGCCCTGACCAATCCCATTAAGCACATCAGTCAGCTGGACAAGAGAGAGAGACAGCTGGCTGTTCTTTTTGAGGACAATAGTGAGGTGAGGCTACAAAATTTGCAGCGAGGTCAGAACATGTGTATTTTTTTTTTATGTCTGTACCTTGTTTACTCAGTCTGGTTTAGAATTGGGAACTTTTTGTGTATATTGCTTTTGTCCAGCGTGCTCCCAACCATCCCAAAGAGGGAGACAACAAGAAAGAGAGCGACGTCATTCCGGGAGGTCGACTCCCCTCCACCTTCTACACCCTTCCCCCTTCATCTTTAGATGATGCCCCTGACATCATCAAGTTACCAGGTAGAGACTAAATACCTGTCATTTATCACATATTCCTATTTGTTAAATATCTATTGTAATCTATTTATTGTATTTAAACTGCATTGTTCAAGTCCCTGGCACTTTCATACAGTATTTTATACAATTTCATACAACACAGCAATAGTGTTTTGCTGTGTTGTGAAAACCAGGCATCTCCCAGTATGTCAGCTTTTCTTTTTTAGAAAACTGTTTCAATACAAGATTAACTTGTATGTTAAACTTGCATTAAGGCATGCACACTTTTGTTCATTGTCTTGGGCCCGATGATTCCCCCCCCCCGTTTGTGTCTGGTTCACTTTCCCATCATCCATTTCACACACACTGTCTGTCTGCTGCTTTTCTTTTTCTGTGTGTGTAGCACCGAGTCACAGGGAGGATCTCATAGCCACTGTTCTGACAGGTAAGGTCATCCCAGCACATCCATTTCCACAGAGAAATCTGTGAATTCATTTGTGTGTGACATAGGTCTTTTGATGGCAATTTTTTTAAGCTGGTTGAACAGCAGGATTTACACCGGTAAACTACAGTTGGCCATAATTCTCTGTCCCTCAGATGTCCAGGTCCACTCTGTAGAGGAGCTGAAGCAACAGAAGAACTATGTGAAGCTGCTAAATAAAAAAAGCAAAGACCTCAAAGAGCTGCGTAAGAAACACCTGAAGAAGGTACACACACAGGCAGAGGCCTCAACAAACACAAACACTGCCATTTAGATGCTTCTATATTTATTCTTTCACTCGACATGTTTGACTTTTTAGAAAATCCCTTCCTTTTGTTTATATGTTGCAAAATAAATATGTTTTGCTTTTGTGTGTGTGCAGGTGTGGAATCTGAGTAAGGATCAGAAGAATCGGACCAGTCAGCTTCAGTCTGACACCCAGAGGAGACGCAGTCAGATGGAGAAACATCTCAAACGTAGCATCAAGAAAAAGTAAGCACAGATGGATATTCATCTGTCTGTGCCCAGGGTTCCATTTTTTATAATCCATCCATAGATGACAGAGGGAGAGGATGTATCTTGCACTCATATTGGAGTTGCAGGTCACTGTACCTGTCCTCATTATTACTGTGTGTGTGTTCAGTGAGCCCCAGGAGCCGGTACAGCATGAGCTGAATGCTCTGGATCAGGAGCTTGAGAAGCAGACAGTGCAGCTGAGGGAATGGCAGATGCAGGAACTGCTGAAATTTCGACAAGAGCTTCACTCACTGGAGAGAGAGATGCAAAAAACACACCTGCAAGAGGTAATGATGCACACAAACACACTTATGAGAAGTGTCAATGCACACCTCATCTTATCTCACCCCAAACTTATGCATACTCAAGGTGAAGAACACTGGTCTCTTGTGAATTCTTAAATATACCCAGAGTTCATCAGTACCTGACCTCTAAGCAGCTTTGTGGCAGTTTGGTACATGTGCACAGGGATTTGCTGACAGGTCATCATCTGCTGTGGTGGCTTTTTTTTAGGCCTTCCAGAAGTTAAAGGAGACGGCCCATGAATGTCAAACAGCTCAGCTGAAAAAGCTCAAGGAGACATGTGAGAGGTAAGCATGGCCGTTTCACTTTGGAAAAGGTGGGACAGGAGAAACTTGGACCCAGAAGTCACAGCCAGTGACTTTCTGCTTTTGTAACCACAAGAAAGTTGGGACGTTGTGTAAATTGTCAATAAAAACTGAAATGGAATGATTTTGGAAATCTTTTAAAACCCATAGTTAAATTGAAAACTGTACAAAGACAACACATTAAATGTTGAAATAGAGAAATTTTGTTTACTTATTTTATGTTGCTGTAAAACTTGTATATATTGTTCAACATTAATGAGGCCTTCACTGACAGGACAGTTTTCCACTTTTTATATACGTTCTTTTCTTTGCATGGTAGCGTTCTAACTGGCATTTGTGAATGGAGCAATGAACCGTGTTCGCCAACAGTGGTTGTCAGAGGTGTTCCTGAGCCCATGCAGTGGTTTCTACTACAGAATCATGTCTGTCTTTAATGCAGTGTCTCCTAAGGGCCAAAAGATCACAACCATTCAGTAATAGCTTTCAGCTCTGTCCCTTGCTTACAGAGATTTCTCAGAATTGTCTAATTTTATTGTGTACTGTAGGTGATGAAAACCTGTTGCCAATTAACCACAGCGGTTGTGAAATGTTTCACCAGGTGGTTTTATTAGCATTACACAACTTTTCCAGTCTTTTGTTGTCCCTGTCCCAGTGGCATCAAATTCAGAATAAGCCTATCTAAACCAAAATGTATTAATTTGAACATTAGATATCTTTGTGCTGTTGCCAAACAAATATGGGGTAAAAGGAATTTTCATAACATTTCACTCAGTTATTTATAACTTACACGCTGTCCCAACTTTGTTGGAGCTGGGGTTGTAATTATTAAGTCGTATTTTTTGCCATCATGCCAGTTTTTTTTATTAATTTTATTGAGCTTTTGAACGTTTTCACACAATCTGACTGATTTCTGGAGGTTTTTCAGTAACATTCAAAAAGCTGTCAGATTTCACTCCAAAACATGATGCATGTCTTCCTTCCATAGTAAAGCTGGTCTGTAACTGTGTCTGCAGGGAGAAGAAAGAGCTCCAGAGAATCCTGGACAGGAAGCGACAAAACAGCATCACTGAAGCCAAGAGCCGTGAGAAAGAAAAGGCTGAAACGTAATAAACTTTGTGTTTCAGAACAGAAGTTGCATACTTGGGTGGTCAGACCTTATAGTGATAACAACCAGTTTGTCTTTGTCATTCCTTTTTCCCTTTCTTTTATCTGCTCTTTCTTTTCTGTCTCCCTGTAGGGAGCTGAATGAGATCAACAGGAAACATATTCAAGATTCTGTCACCTCAATCCGCAAGGCAAGTACCCACTCTAGCACGCACACACACTTATCACCAACAGATCTTTGTAGTTCTCTTTTGGCACTGTCATCAATTTTAATTCATTTTTCTCACACATTGTCTTCTTTTTGCCTCCTAATCCTCCATTGCCATCCTTCCTTTATTCACTGGTTTTACACCGTAACCCTCAATTCTCCCTCTTACATACTACTTTTCATCCCTTATCTCCCTTTGCTTCTTTTTCCACTTCCCCCACATGGTCCTTAAATCTCCCACCCATTCTTTATCTGCTTCCTAAATCTTCGTCTCTTCTCATCTTTCTTTCCTCACACCCAGTTGGAGGAGGCTCAGAGCAAGAGACAGGACAAGCTGCTGCTGCGGCAGCGGGAGGTGCTGCAGTACATAGAAGAGGAGCTACCACTGGTGAGCAAAATCACATTGATACACACACTGAATTGCTGTCTTTTAACCCGCTCAAGTGCAGAAGCAGTTCTGTTTGAAGAAGCAGCTAGTTTGCCATAATAACTAAATGGGACAGCTGTTGAATTCAGCTGTGATGGGGCAATAAAACCCAGCTTGTATATATTAAGATCACTAAGAGCAACCAAACACTGTTGGGAACATGTACACCTTTATGCTAAGCTAACTGGTTGCTGCTATGTCACCATACTGGAGAGTATGGACATAAGAGTGGTATCATCTTCTCACTGTCAGCAAAAAAAGCATTACGTACAAGGTATTTCCAGAAATATCAAACTGTTTATTAAACACTTGAACATTTGAATAGTTTCCTGGTGTTTCTTTTCCAGATGCAGTCTCAGCTAGAGAGGGATCTGGAAGAAGAGTACCAGCAACTAGCGGAAGAAATCTGCAACCACCTTCAGCTGAAGCTCCAGAACAAAGGGCTCCAAAAGGACGCCCTTTTCTCACCCTTTTCCAATCACCGCAGCCCCAGCCCAAGCTCGGGCTCAGGCCCGCCCTCCAACTGCTCCACACCCTCCTACCCGTCAACACCCAATCGAAGCACCTGGAATAGTAGCATGGACAATAGCACCGCCTCGCTGGCTGATTCCTCTTCACCATCCACCACTCCCGTCCTGTCAGAGCCGGAGATGTCGTTCAGTTAAAATAATTTTTTGTAAAAAGGAAAATACCTGCATTCAACTGGGGTTTATAATGGTCATAATGTGTAATAGTAATGATAGAGATTTACAAATTTTATTCCTTTTTTTATTACAGTTCTTGACTACAAAGCTATAATATTTTTATTTTGCAGTTTTTATTTTCTTGTCTAATTGTCTTGATTTTACTGTCATATCCTGTCTTTTTATGTTCACACAGTTTTGCTAAAGCTATCTGTTTGTAAGCTTTAAACTCGTTTTTACCTTTGAAAGCTTTACCTTGTGCAGATGGAGCAGCCCGGTGTGAAAACATCTGCCTTTGTTAAGAAAACTTAGCAACATACATACAGCTGGAGCAACCAGTCACCATGAGAGTAAGAAACACAAATTCTCACTACAGATTTTTGATATTTTATTTGTAGCAACATGTGACCAGTGACAATTCATATTTGCTTTCTTACCCATAAAGAGATGAAAACCTAAACAACACAGCCTGTGGAGATGTGTGAGTGCTACAAATGCATGTCAAAAACCACACATTTATTCCACTTTTGCAAGTAAAAATGAACAGCACTAGAGAAGTATTTACCAGAAAACATGTGGTCTGAATTTATACAAAAAGTTTTATTTGCAATGGCAGTAGTTGACCACAAAGGGGTGCTGTAGCCCAAACCTTCTTTTCAGTTGGTCGTGTGAGCTGCCCAGTCATCTAACCTGATTATCTCAGCATGCTGTACCCTGACACACACAGCCAAGGTTGATTAGGGTTAGCAGGCATCACTATGGCTAGAGACTGTGTGTGTGTGTGTGTGTGTGTGTGAGAGAGAGAGAGAGAGAGAGAGAGAGAGAGCGCAATGAGTTTCAGAGTAAATCAGAAAGGGTTTAAGTGATGTAACAGTCTCACTTTCTAAATGCATGTGTAAGACACAATCACATGCTTGACGCTGTGTTTTCTACTACAACATCTTTGAAAGATGTGTCCTCACACTGCAGCACACACACACACACACACACACACACATATATATATATATATACACACACACACAGACAGTATATTTTACAGCCTGTCAGTCTGTAAAATCCTCATCCCATCCAATCTACCCTCTGATTGAAAAACGGACTCACAAACACACACTTCAGTGACAAGGCTCAGTAATAGAACTTACTTAAAATAACTTGTGTGTGTGTATAGCCAGAAGTCAGTCTCTTGATGAGACATCAGCTTTTGGGGGCAGTAATACTTCCTACCAAATGGAAATAGTCTGCTCTATATGTATGTGTACATGTGACTGACATTAGTCAAACTGTAGGGAGCGAAACCTATTTATGCATAGAAATTGTGGAGACTCGGCCTTCTTTGTGGAGACCTAAAACACTGGATTTTAGGGTGATGGCTTGGGTTAGGGTGAGGTTAGTTTTATGTTAGGGTTTGGCTCGGGCAGATGGTGGTTATAGTTAAAGTTAGGGTAGGTCTTCAGGAAATGAATTTAAGTCAATGTAATGTCCCCGTGAGGAATGACAACAAACATATGTGCTGGTGCAGTTTGCCATTTTGGCAGACTGGAGAAAGACATCATGCGCAGCACTGTCGGAGTTTGCAGATGATGACTTTAAGCTTAACTGTAACATTTTAATGTCAAAATTCGCTCATCGTTTTAGTCCAAGCACCAAAAGCTTATGAGCATGCCTTTCCCCTGTGGTTGATACTATAGATTTTATTATTGCTTTAGTGTTAGAGATAGAGATTAGAAATCATGTCAGAGCTCGTGAAATGAACATTTACTGTAGGTCTGAAGAGGTCACAGTTTTCTGATGTTGTTGTATCATAAAAGCCTCAAACTTCCATCACTGTGGAAGTGATTTATGTACATTTGTTTTAGGTGAGTATGCCCTTTAAAACATCCCACACAGTTCCCTCAGTGTGTTAATGTTAAAGCTAAATACTAATGTGTGCATTTTGGTACTTTAGGTTAGGAATTAGTGTTTGTCTCTATCAAAGCTTTCTGTTAGGTTTTATTTATTTCACTCTGTTTTCCTTCATCCATAACTGCAGAGGTTTTTCTTTTACACCAAACTGTTCATGGTTGCTTTGTGTCTTTGTATATATATATATTATGTGTATGTGAATTTTACTACTGACCACAAGTGCTGCAGAGGGAGGCAGGTTGGGAGAGGATCAGTGAAGTCTGAGGGAAGAAACACACACCTCAAAGAAAGGATTGTCTTTAGGTGAGACTGAGCAAGTCCTGTCTTGCTGTCTCCTTCCAGGAGCACTGACTGCCTGTCTGTCTGATTAACCCCCACCTTAATGCACACCCCTTGTAAACGATCATCTGTTTAAATAGTTTTATTTAAGTTTTCATTGATGGAAGTAGGTGAAAGATTCAGAGTGTAAATGGGTTTCTATGTACCAAGTCCCCATTATAAAATCAGTTTTTAATGTGAATTTTAATGGGGGCTTCTGAAATCATCATACAGCTGTGTATAGCAAAGTATTTAAGATTTGGCACTGTGAGGAGAAGCAGCTTGAAGCCAGTCATTTGGGGCAGAAACAACAACATACACTCACTGGGGTGAGCACTTTCTTAAAAATGAAAACACTGAGCTGTCTAGTTCTGATAATTTTACAGTCAAAGGCTGCCAGCCTGTTAATCTCTGGCTTCCCTGCACTCTGTGTGCCACGCTGCGTACAGTATTCAAGTGTTTCTGCTCTTCTCTATCATTTTGGACACTAATGTAAACAGTCAGAATTTACAGTGGACTCAGAGATGAAACGGCATCAGATCATTTCGAATCAAAAGGTTTGTTTGCCAGACTGTCTGTCTGCTTTTAGGGTCAAGGTGTCCAAGCCATTCCAACTCCTGTGGCAAGTATTCAAAGTAATGTATTCTGTATTTGTACATTATTACTAGGTACTCAAGACATATTAGATCTTATTGTCTGCTGTCTTTTCATGTTTAAACACACTTTTGCTGCTCTGTTATTGTTGCTTGTAAAAACCTTGTATTCCCCTGACATGGACCTGAATACAACCACAGCGGGTTTTTATTTTTTGTGTAAAATGTATCAAATTGGTTCTTTAAGAGTTTCAATGGCTGTTAGCACAAGAGTCAGTGGGCACATTTTGAATGTACAATGGAGAATTTAGTAGAGTTGGTTGAGACCAGGATGAAGCTAAAAGTAGGGGAGATATTGGGTTAAAACATAACTCCAAATGTTGAATGTGCAAATAAGCAGTTGTTTGCGAACATATACAATAGTAGCATTGCTGGGCATAAAACATCAGTGCTTCTTTCTTTGGGGAACGCTACTTATCTGTCATCATCTAGCATTTCCTATGATACAAAATGCTAAGTACCAGTTACGTTAATCAGGAGTCTCTGCAAAAGCCCCTTTAAAACATAATTCCAAGGCACAATTTATCAACTTTCACGTGCAAGTTTCCTTCAGTAACCATTCAGACTTTGGTAGGTGCTGCCTTGGCACACAGAGATGAGAGAGGAGCACAGTTAATATGCTAATGCTGTTAGCTAGTTTCCTTCCCACCACAATGGAGCCTGGGGGTTGTTTCTTGTCATGCCATGAGCTTTAAACTCTGTTATTTCTGTCCTGGTTATGTTGAAAACACTCATTTAAACAGACACACACTATACCATACACTGACTCAAACTCAGCAGCGTACCATTAGCCACCATGCTGACATGGTGACTTTACTCTTAGTAGACATTTGGTGTGGTTCCTCAGGTCCACCCTGAGGCCCCTGGCTGTTGTCTTCTCTCCCTCTTTTTATGTTCCCAACTGTCCCATTTCCTTGTCTCCAGTTTCACCCAGTAATGAGACCATCTTTTTCATCTTGGACTAGTTAATTAAAAGCAGCAACTGTGTGTTTGTGCACTTCAGATAGCGACGGCAGCATGTGATAAATATTAGACAAGATATGTAGTGAGACACCATATATGTAGTGTATGTGATTGTCGGATATAAGGGAATACTATACAGTGATCCAGATGTAATATTTGATTGTTGATTTATAATTAATATAAAGTATATGACTGGACATTCAGTAATAAACTTCCAACTTCCTCTTACATAGCTAACTGGTTGTTTTCTGTTTCTTTTTTTTTAATTTCTAGGTTTAATTGTTATGGCCTTGGTTGTATGTGTTATGGGTATTTTTCCAGGGTTTAAGGCTTTTTGAGTACTTACTGCCCATTCATTCTTTTGTAATGAAAAGTGTCTTTAATACTTTTTATGTATCGAGGTAACAGAATTTGACAGAGGCACAGCTTTACCAGTATTGGCAAAGAGTAGAGACTAAACCATGACAAACGCCAGGCTCAAGCTGCAAAGCATCCTGCTTGCTGAAGTACTATTGAGCAAGAGACTAGATGTGTCTGTGTTGTTTTAACTTAGCTAGTAGTATTTTTAGTGTGTGTGCAATGCTGTGCAAATTAATTTTGTGAAAGAAGTGAGCAGACAGGCCTGAGGCCAGGAGTGAACGTTGCAGCCCCCAAGAAAGTTGAATTTTTCATAATTTAGTTAGTGGTTATAGTTTCTGCAAACTTTATTTCAAAGAGCAGTTGTTTCACAAACGTTTCTCTGAAAACCATTGCCAGCATAAATTCAGTGATCTAAATTGTAATTAAGCTTTGTCTTTGTTTCTCTATAGCACCAGATTAAGTAGAAGGTAAATAAAGTGTCAAAATTCCAATGGAGAAACTATTTATTTTTGTTGACCTTAAACTTATCAGCCAAGAAAAACCTACTCTGTGTTTCTAATTTGCTGCCAAAACCTCTACATCATCAGAAAGAAATATGGAAGTTAAAATAGTAGCAGCGGCTGTACTGACTCTATGATAAAAACAAGTTCATGATGAAATATTATTTAGCAGAGCAAAAGCTAAATCACAAATTGACTAAATGCATTGTGCATACTGCATATCCTGCACTAGAAATACTGTGTTCATACTTGATGAATGTACAGTATATTGCATGGACTCAGTTACAGGATTTCTATCTGCTCCAGTGCGACCAGCAGCGACTCACTGAAAGACAGGCTTGTAGAGGTATTAAAAGATGCATTTATTTAGTATAAACTTCACAATATGATGTATTTGGTGATTAGATCCTGTTATCATCATTCTACAGGACTTGTAATGCCACAAGAAGGAGTTGGTCCTTGATGCTAGAGACTAAAACAATGAAGGATAAGTAGCTGAAGCTCCTGATGGATGTGATCTGGAACAGGAATCCCGATGAACCAACTAGATAAGAGGTGGGTTGTGCCACTCTGACAGTGGGTGAGAAAGGAACAGGTTTTGATAGCAACAAGAAGAATGGCTCAGAGGTTAGCAAAATCTGCCTTCAGCTTGAGGTGACAAGGACAAATGTAAATAAATAGAGTTTTCCTGTCTGGCCATCTTTACTGCTTTTCTGCAGCTGAGCCTGACATCTGTAGAAAGCAACAATCAGAGGCCTGGTGGGGTTTGAGGATTATACATGCCAGTCATTACTCTCATTTAAATTGCCTGTCTTAACCCAAAATGACACACGTACAGTGTATTCCAAGCCTTTACCCCTTAGTGTGAGTCAGTTTATGTGTGAAGCACTGCTCTGTTGTGAGTACTGTGTACTTTGTGTCTCTACTCTACCTTGTATGTGGGTGTGTGTTCCCTACTTGTTGGTGTGTAGCTCCTTGGGAGCCTTTGTGTTCTCATTCAGTATGATGATGACCCACTCAGACACACATGCTCTTGCACATATGTTAACACACAATGGTGATAAGGCCTCTCAGTGACAATGGATATGCCTCGTGCACACACACACCCTCGCTCATCAAAGAAAGTTGTTGTAACCAAAGCCATAATGTCCACCTGGCAGCTTACAGATAGGCGACAGCTTTGTCCTCACACTATCATCTCTCCCTCTTTTTTGTTTTCTATCTCGCTTGTTTGCTCTCATCCCTCGCTGCTGCTGGACAGGGTCAGAAAAGTTAGTTTGAGAATATAATCCATCACAGATCACTGATTACCTGCTGTAAATCCTCTGTAATCTGCGAAACAACAGAGTTTCAGAGGAGGCAGTTGGTTCAGGATTATGCACATTTCATCCAGACTCAGTAATGTATTCTGATTATCACCTACATCAATTCTAAATGTCAACAACCTCACAAACAAATTGCCCTGTCATCTGTGAATAAAATTCACCAGTCACTATTCTATCTCAAAACACTGAAATCCCATTAAATTTAACCTTTCTTCTTCTTCTCCTTCTTGCCATCATTTTCTGCATCTGCTTTTCTCATAGTCTAGCCCTTCTCCTCTCATCTCTCTCTTTTTCCCTCAGTCCCATTTCTTTCCAGACTCTTTAATCCTTCTCCCTTTCCGCCAGGGAAAAAGGGAGATATCATCCCCCCAACCCCAATCGGAGGTTGACAGTCACACAATTTGTTTTTTGTAGGATCATGACTAAGATGAAGAAGTTTAGTGAGAAAGGCATAATGAAGGGTAGTAGTGAGGAAAGTGTAGGGAGAAAGTGGAGTACCTCCTGAAACCAAGCAAGCTAATATACAGGAGATGAACACTAGTAGTGAAGTAGTGAGGAACGTGAAGTGCCTCCTGAGATATACAGGAGAAAAGCGTGATGAAGAAAGGAGGCACGCAGAGGGAGGGAGGATCCTCGGCTTTACTTCTTACTAAGACTGATGACTTACTAATTTACTAAGATAGATAAGTTACTAAGATAGAGGTCTCTAAATAATGTTTCCATGTTTTCTACATTCTTTTCACCCTACTCTAATGAAAAGAATGTAGAAAAAATGAGAACACATTATTTAGAGGATCTTAGTAAAACTGACATATATCTTAATAAGTTAGTAAGTCATCTATCTTACTTACTATAGTATGTGGTAAAAATGGTGTCTGAATTAGGATTGAGTGGTCGACTTGGTTTTCTTGGAAATGTTTACTTTGCATGCTCACTGAGAAGGATAAGTGTTTGTGTGTGTACATCTGCCTACTGAACTGGTAAAACAATAAACACCACCTCATTCTTCTTTCTCCATCTCTCACACACTCATTTGCTTTGTCCTTTCCTCTCTTTTAGTTTCACCCACACATACTGACAAACATACACACTGACAAAAATGTATACACACTAACAGGAATATCACTTCTTCTCTCCCTCTCTTACACACAAACACACACACAATAAACACTTGTCACTGGTCGGCATCAGTCGTTTATTCTTGCCGGAGCGAGGGATTTGTTTTTTTCTTCCTGTCATTCGCCCATTTGACTTGATGGATGGTGGGTGGTGACGCAAAACACCTGCCACACACAAACAAACACTCAAAAGGTTTCAATTAGCAATGTCCCTTCCTTAGCACTAACCCAATTCTAAACCAATTTCTTGGAAAAGTGAAAATAACAAAATTGGCTCATATTTGAGACTTTTCTTTTTTTTTGCCCATTCCCATGAGGACCAAATTGAGAGTGACCCACATACACCATCAGGGTGTGCGAACAGATTTCTTTTGCGAGGTTGGGCTTCCTATGTGGCCTGCAGTGTAAACAACAGTTTGTCTCCATAGAGGACAAATGGACAGCAGCAGCACAGAGAACATGAGGAGCAGAGAGGATGTGACCCCGAGGTTCCAATTCAAACCCTACAAACAGGTGGGAAATATGAGGACTGTTCTCCTCAACTACTCTAAACCAAGAAACCTCTGAGCAAGTCAACATCTAGTAGCTAAGGATTCAGACACTTTAACACATGAGTTTGTGGAAAGCAAAAAAGAAAGTTAATACTGGACTTAAATCTGACAGGCAAACAGAAACATAGCTCCAAATGATGTGCCATATTGTTATGTACTTGCTGGATGTGTAAAGAACTGTTTGATAGACTATACCAGCTTTGTAAGCCTTGATGTAATAATGTTTTTAACTGCAGTTTTAATGTTTCTCTGCCCACTACAGGCCAAAAATTGATCAATTCCGCCATAGAGTCTTGTAATATTTAGGTTAAATGTTTGTGTTCTTTTAGAGTCAGATGAGAAATTGATTCAGCTCATGTCTGTACAATAAATATGGAGATATCATTAGCAGCTAGTTAGCTTAGCACAAAGACTGGAAATGGAGAGGCATTCGTGCCCGCTCTGTTCCAGTCTGTGTGACACTACCTCTGCAGCTCACTAAATAACATTACCAGTGTTTCCCTTGGGTTAACAGCTTTGGGGGGAGACAGATACAGAAATGACATGCCGTCGTGTAAATAAGATAAAAAACATAAGGCTGTTTAGTTTGTTTAACAAAAGAACAGGGTTCTATAGGAACCTGTTCTATAGGAAAGGTAACCTTACATGACTTCTGTTGTGATCTGGCGCTATATAGAAAATAAAATTAACTTGACCTTTGTGGGGGGGCGCCCCCATAATATAATGGTAGGGGAAACACTGGCTAAAAGCAAAGCAAAACAGGGAAAGGCTTCGATAGCTGCTGCTGCTATGTGTGGCTGCCATGTTGGTACAGGGCCACGGTGCCTCTTAATGCAGGTCCACAGTTGGAATCATAATTTACTGAATTCATTTTAGTCTATTTTTGTATTTCACCTATCCCCTGTTGGCTCTGTAGTCTGACTGCCAGTGTTATGGGAACGGTATCGAATATATCTGGACTAGATTATCGTTAGCACCCTCTTGTTTTAAACACCCAACAAGTTCACTAATGTTTAGAGGACGCTGGTCTTTGACACAGATTTCTTTGTTGTAGTGAAGAAACCTTTTAGGTAAGTATGAGAGTATTGAGTTTTTCTGCCAGGTCTGTGTAAAATGGAGCCTCCTTTTAGACTAAAGTCCAGACAAACCATCAGCTACCAGTCATCATTAATGAACACCCCGAAAAGCCTGTTTTGTTTAAATTATGCTCATATTCAAAATATCAGTAGGTTTTTATGACAGTGGAAGCAATGCCAGGATTTAATGACATCAAAAACTATCAGTAAGTAACATCACATTAAAGAATGGTGTCCTGTTAACAATGGATAGGATTTCAAGTCTAAACCTAGATTACTAAAGGTCT